AAGGATAATTTGGTGGATTTGTTCAAGAACTTATGTTACGTGAAAGTATTATAAATTGTATTTTTATTAGTATGTTTTTATTACGGTACTATCAGCGTACCAAACCAATCCGAACCGAATATTAGGTTAATCTATCTGAAGTCTACCGAAGTCTTTGGTTTGGTTAATGGAAGAGAAAATGGTCTATCACCCACTTATTTGTTAAATTAATATAAAGGGAATGTACTATAGATCTTTTTTTTGGTTACATGTTAACGGAAGAGCCTTCTATCGTTCCAAACCAATCTGTGCCCAGACCTAGGTGGAGGTGAAAAAGCTCAGCCAACGGAGCTATACTCCATTGACAAAAATGCGTAATTAAATATTTTTAACACCAAAGTCCACTTAAGAAAAACCATTATTCATATTTCAAGTGTTAAATTAATATAAAGGGAATGTACTATAGATCTTTTTTTTTGTTACGTTGGAGGAAAAAAACCCCACTTGGGTTCGATCCTGAGTGCCATGGGGGGAAGGGGGAATCCACCACCACTGTGGTGGGAACCCATTGGCTACTATAGATCTTTTCGATTGTGAATAAAATCTCCACAAATAAAATACAAAAAAGCCTTGAGGTTACTTTGTTTGACTGCAACGAAAAACAAGACACACGTTAGCCACTTTGGCTGCTGTTACTGCATGATAAGTACTAAGTGTCAGAGAAACGGCCCCTCTCTTTCTCTGTTTTCTAATCAATAAAGGCAAACGCTCCCTCCATTAAAAGGCACGTCATCACCTTCTCAAGTTTCACAATTCTTAGTTATCTGCACATCTTATCTTCTCTAATGGCTTCCATCACCAAAGAATTAGCCTTCAAGGGCTTTCCTTTCATCAGAATCTACCAAGATGGAAAAGTTGAGCGCCTCATAGAGTCTCCACATGTGCCCCCATCTGATCAAGACCCAGAAACTGGTGTCTCCTCCAAAGACATCACAATCTCACACAACCCCAGCATCTCAGCTCGCCTTTACCTCCCAAATCTCCCTCAAAACCAAACCCAAAAGCTCCCTATCTTGGTTTACTTCCATGGTGGAGCATTTTGCATTGAGTCAGCCTTCTCACTCCAGGCCCATTGTTTTCTCAACCGCTTGGTCTCAGAAGCCCAAGTTGCAGCTGTCTCTGTTGAGTACAGGCTTGCCCCAGAAAACCCACTTCCTCTTGCTTATGAAGATTCCTGGGCTGCTCTTCAATGGGTTGCTTCTCACTCAAACAACCAAGAATTAGATGGCAAAAAAGACCCATGGCTAGCCAAATTTGGAGATTTTGACAGATTGTACATTGGTGGTGATAGTGCAGGTGGCAATATTGCACATAATTTGGCTATGAAGGCAGGTTTTGAGAGCTTGTGCGGTGATGTGAAAATTTTGGGTGCATTTCTCTCCCACCCTTATTTTTGGGGGTCCAAGCCAATTGGGTCAGAGCCTAAAGGTGAAGACTTTGAGAAGACTCTGGAGTATAAAGCTTGGGACGTTGTTTATCCATCAGCTCCTGGAGGGATTGATAATCCAATGGTGAATCCAGCGGGTGAGGGTGCCCCAAGCCTGGCTGGACTCGGGTGCTCTAAGCTGCTTATGTGTGTTGCAAGCAAGGATCAGCTGAGGGATCGAGGAGTTTGGTATTGTGATTTGGTGAGGGAAAGTGGGTGGAAAGGAGAAGTGGAGCTGTTTGAAGTGGAAGGAGAGGACCATTGCTTTCATATCTTCAGTGAGACTGAGACGGAGAATGTTAAGAAAATGATCAAACGCTTGGCTTCTTTTCTTGTCTAGTATTATCATGCTGGTTTGCTCATGTGTTTAACTGTTGAGCTCTGCTTTGATCTGTGTCTTTGGTGTTTAAAATAAAATAAATAAACTTGTTTTGCTATGTGTTTAATCCCATGAAGACCTATTTACAGAAGATTGAATACATAAAACTAAATATGATATGCAGGCAAGAGGAAAAAAAGAGAGGAGATTTGGTGATCTGTGCTCTCCCAAAGCGCTGAGATGTATATAACATGAATGAAGTGAATGATTACTTAATGAGGGGCCATGGTTTCACTCTGCCTTGATCAGCATTTCCATTATTTGAGCTGTGTCAAGTGATATCATAGCGAGTTTTGAATTGTTATATTCTAAAGATACTGTTTTTCATTCAAAGTGAATCTGTCACCGTTAGTTTTGCCTAACAAGCCACTGGAAAGGATTTTCGGCCTACTTTCCGATGCAAAAGGCGGTGCCTGAATCAGATATTTCTTTAAGTGGTTAGCACAAGCATTTCACTTTGCTTGTTGTTGCTGGAGTATCACACATCAATTCACTCAGTTGTTTTCTAATGTTCATTTGCTTTAGTTTACAAGTGGGCTTACACCCACTCTCACCATTTTTTTACAATCTTCATCTGCAGGAACTATGTCCAAGCAATGTTGCATAGACAACAATCACACTGTCTGGTATGTTTCTTCTCTAATTAAGTCTAATGGCTCCCACTTCAACTTCCACTTCCACCACCAAAGAAATAGCCTTCGAGCTCCTTCTTAGAGCACTTACAGCGGTGCGCCAGGGGGGGCCCAAGAAGAAAAGGAGGTTCCAGGGCCTTTTTTGCCCGGGCTGGGTGTGGGCTCCACAAGCCTGTGCTAGCCCTCAGGCAAAACCAACCCTTGCAATAGCCTGGGTTTGCTGACGTCAGAAACAAAAAAATAATTATAAAAAATTTAAAAAATTTCAGAATTTTTAAAAAATAAATACTTAGTCATATTTTTCATGTCCCACACCAAAACTCTATACAAATTCCTCTCCTCATATCTCATGTGAATAGTAGTTGCCATGGCAACGGGTGGAAACACACATTGCTTTTTGCAAGGGCATCAACTATTCATGCGGATGATTGTACTCGTATGACATGACTCTCCACAATGAAGACTGAAAATGAAGTGTTTACTATGTTTCAGTCTTTCCACAAACATATTGAAACTCAATTCTCTGCCAAGATCCAGATTTTTCGCTCTGACAATGGTGGGGAATATGTCAACCATGACTTTCAGACTTACTTCAAGACACATGGCATTATCCATGAGACCACTTGTCTCCAAACACCACAACAGAATGGTGTTCCAGAATGAAAAAATCGACATCTCCTTGAAACAACCCATGAAAAAATCGACATCTCCTTGAAACAACCCGAGCACTTATGATTGGAGCCTATGCTCCTTGCCACAATTGGGCTGATGACGTTGTCACGACTGTTTATTTGCTCAACCATATGCCTTCTCTTGTCTTGGACTTCCGTACTCCGATCCAAGTGCTCGGTCAACATGGGCCCCTGCCCTTTGTCTAGATGCTCACACCACGGGTATTTGGATGTGTGGCATAATATAAATATATATGCCTTTACCTTCTCAACGAGTCTCGGAAGTGTCTCTGCTGATAAATGCCTGGCAAGATTCATAGCTGAAGACAGACTCAACCCAACCACACTCTCCAAAAATGCAACTTTTCCATTGTCACCTTTTTCCTTGGCTAAATACCTCACCTTTTCTTTAAACCCAACCAATTCTCTTCCCTCCTTTCTCTCCCGCTCTCTCCACAGCCCAAGCTCATCCAACTCCAAAACCCCATCGACCAACATCCGCAAATACCTCGGCGAATTCGACGAAACAAAGGCGGCTTCTGTCTCAGAAACCCCACATTCTTGAAGAAACTCCCAAAAAGCATCTTGGGCAGCTTTGAATTGCTCCGATTGGTGGTCTGGCGGAGGTGCAGGGTTGTTGGGTGGTGTGGAAAACAGGGGATGGTGAAGGTGGGGTGATGGGTTTTGGAGGGCGTGTGAAAAATTGGGTTTTTGGGTTTGTGGGTCAGGTGGAGTCTGAGAGTGAGAGTGGGGTTTGATGAGTTGGGGAGGAGAGATGGGTTTGTGGGTTTGTTGGGGATGAGGAAAGTCTGAAACTCAACAGAGCAAGCTCTCATCCTTTTGTTTTGGATTGAGCTTGCTCACTTTTTTGGGGAAGTGTTTTTTTTTGGTCGAATTTTGGTAAGTTAGATATCCCTTTGGTGGGACTTTTGCTGCCATAGATTGATCTGACGATTATACCCCTAGATTTAACAAAATTTTTGACAGAAGGACTATTTAAGAGCACCCATATTAACGTTAGGGATCATAAGTGATACAAAAAAACTTTAAGGATGCAACCTGATAGTTTCACAAACGTCAGGGATGTTTTGTGATAAAAAGCCTAATGAAAAAATCGACATCTCCTTGAAACAACCCGAGCACTTTTGATTGGAGCCTATGCTCCTTGCCACAATTGGGCTGATGACGTTGTCACGACTGTTTATTTGCTCAACCATATGCCTTCTCTTGTCTTGGACTTCCGTACTCCGATCCAAGTGCTCGGTCAACATGGGCCCCTGCCCTTTGTCTAGATGCTCACACCACGGGTATTTGGATGTGTGGCATGTATATGGAGCCTACATATCCAATAATAACATGCCAAGTGGATTTGAATAAAAAACAAATTATGTATTGAAAATTTTCTTTTTTTTATTAAATTTTTTCTAAAAGATTTTAAATGTTAAACTATTTTTTAAAAAATATAAAGGACCAATAATGTTTAAAAAAAAACATAAAAGACCAATAATGTGAGAAAAAAAACATAAATGACCAATAATGTCAGAAAAAAAACATGAACGACCAAAGGTGATAATTTCGCAAATCTCAAGGACCATTTGTGATAAAATCCAAAATGTTTAAAATATTGTTTAATACCTGTGGTGCCCACGTCAGCAATCTAACGAAAATTTTTGACAGAACCTGATGACGGGACCAAATTGATGTGTGAGGGGTAACATAAGGGACCAATAATGTCAGAAAAAAACAAAAAGGACCAAAGGTGATAATTTGGCAAACCTCAGAGACTATTTGTGATAAAAAAAAAAACCCTTAAAATTTTAAAATAAATTTACCTTTTTGTAAAATAACTTCTAATGACAAATGACCCCTCTCTCTCCCTCTCCATGCTCTCACCCTCACTCTCTCCCTCTCCGATTTTCCTCCCAGTCTCCTCCTACCTCTCAAGGTCCTCCCTCTCAGTATATGCTTGTATGTTTTTGAACTTTGAAGTGGAACTTCAGTTTGCACAGTGTTCTTGTGGTTGTTTTAGATAGTGGGTTTTAATCGTTGTACAAATTGATGAAGATGGTTGGTTTGTTTGTGTTGTTTTGGTGCAGCAAATGCAATCGAGAATGTGGTGATAATTGGGTCATGTCCCACTGGAGTCACAACAGCAAGTTACGCAGCTCAAGCCAATTTGAAGCCTTTGGAGTTCGAAGGGTATCGATCGGGTCCAGTCCCGGGGCAGTTGATGACCACTACTGAAGTTGAAAACTTTCCAGGATTCCCAAATGGAAACTGGTCCAGATTTAATGGACAGGTAAACCAACCAAGTTCATGTTGTATCCTTGACTAGTTTTAAATTGTGGACAACCTAATTGTTTTTGTTTTCTCTTTTTCTCTTAACTTTCTCATCGGGAGCCGTAATACAAGGTTCAACTATGGATTTCAAGTTTCAAGGGTAAAAGGCCTTCAATGGAGGATTATATTGAGGCAAATATATCTGACGTTGATGGCCAGATGGTTGCATTTGGTGTTTTTGATGGTACAGTACAATTCAAGTTGTTCATTTGGGAATTTGTTGGAATTAATAATTAATAATTATAGGGTATTTTAGGAATATGGTGGGTGAAAAGATAAGATTGTATTTTTTTCAAATTTACATGCATGGTGAATAGGAAGATAAGGTGGATGAGAAATTTGGTGGTGGGTGAAAAGATAAGATTGTATTTTTTTCAAATTTACATGGTGAATAGGAAGATAAGGTGGATGAGAAATTTGGACTGGGGTGGAAAGAGTGCTGCTATTTCCACCCCTTTCCTATTTTCCCACCCACCTTATCTTCAAAATTTTAAAAACAAATAAATCCCTTTGTAAAATGACTTTTAAGGACACAAGGAAAAAACCCCAAACTCGATCTGCAAGGGCTGGGTTTGTTCGAAGAAAGAGAGGGGGGAGAGAGAGAAAGCGAAGAGAGACAGAGGCATGAACCACACCATCTTCCCCATATATCACCAAACCCACCTCTCCACCCAACTCGTAGGCCATGACGTGGAGTGGCGTCCCCCAACTTCTCCATGGTTATTTCACATTTCTCTTTGCACTGGATGATGTGCGCCTAGTAGTAGAAGGATGCTACATTATTAGCATGCAGCATTTCTAGAAAACAATAAGGGTCTTCCTAATTCTTTCAAAATTAAAGGCGCTTTGAAATTATCCTCAGAAGGCTAATGGATGTTAATCTTCTACGCTTCTAGGAAGGATGGTGATGTAGGGCCTATCCCATTCTAAATTATTTTCTAGTTTTGCCAATCCGGAGATATGTCAACTAGTCTTAGGCGTCAAAGTTCTGAAGAGTAGAAAGCCATTGTTCCATATAGTTCTTGCAATCAGAAGAGAGCATGTTTTAAAAGGAGAGAGGAAATTAGGTAATAATTAAAAGGGTATTTTAGGACTATTGGAGGGTGAAAAAATAAGATTGTATTTTTTAAAATTTATATGGCGGGTGGAAAGATAAGGGGGGTGGGGAAATAGGACAGGGGGGTGGGAATAGCAGCACTCGGGGGAAATAGCAGCACTCAGTGGAAATAGTAGCCCGCTTTTTGAAAGGTACAAGATGCCTATTTAAGTTAGAATAGCCTTAACATTTTTACACAGAAGCATTAATGCGTATATATGTTCATATACTTCGAGAGAGAGAGAAATATGTAAGTTCGCCATTAAAACTTAGAATATAGATAGTTGAATTCTGAGAGACAGACACTTGTAGAATTTCAAGCACTGAAAATGGGTGAAATTACTCTATGCATGATCAGCAAATATATAGCCACCCAAAACTTTATAATTTCCAACACATGCTTTGGTTAAATACATCTTATAAAAAAATCAGATTCACATCTTTAAATAAGGTGTTTTTTTCAAAGAAGTTGGGGTAGGCTGGATTTTTGTTTTAGCCCTTCTAATTATCCAGGTGCAGTATTTTGAATATATCTACTTACCTATGTTTATTCAAAATAATGCACCGAATCAATGTACTGGAAAAGCAATATCATACTGCTGGAAAAGCTCTCTCAGTTACTTTCCAATGCAAAAGAAATTTTCTTCAAGTGGCATCCCACGCATTTCTGTTTGCTTGATGTTGATGGAGTGACTTTTTCTTCCCTTAGTTCTTTGTTTTCTAATTTGATTAGTTTGCTTCACATATAAAATCACTCTATTTTTAGCTTGTTAAAGCAAGAGTGGCAACAATTTCAATGCGTGTGGATGAATTTACTTTGTAATCCAAGTTTGAAAATGCTTGATTAAATATTTTTGACACCAAAGTCCACTTTAAAAAAAAAACCATTATTCATATTTCACTCACATATTTGTTCAATGTACTATAGATCTTTTGGAAATTTGGATTGTGGAAAACATCTTCGCAAATAAAATTCAAAACAGCCTTGAGGTTACGTTGTTTGACTGCAAATAAATACAGGCACATGTTGCCTACCTTGGCTGCTGTTACTGCATGATTGTCAAACACGTCTCCTCTCTTTCTCTGTTTTCTAATGAATTTAAAGGCACATTCTCGCCCTCTCAAGTTTCACAATTCTTAGTTATCTGCATATCTTCTCTAATGGCTTCCACCACCAAAGAATTAGCCTTCAAGGGCGTTCCTTTAATCAGAATATACAAAGATGGAAAAGTTGAACGCCTCAGAGGGTCTCCATATGTGCCCCCATCTCCTGATAAGGACCCAGAAACTGGTGTCTCCTCCAAAGACATCACAATCTCACACAACCCTAACATCTCAGCTCGCCTTTACCTCCCAAATCTCCCTCAAAACCAAATCCAAAAGCTCCCCATCCTGGTTTACTTCCATGGTGGAGCATTTTGCATTGAGTCAGCCTTCTCACTCCATGCCCATCGTTTTCTCAACCGCTTGGTCTCAGAAGCCCAAGTTGCAGCTGTCTCTGTTGAGTACAGGCTTGCCCCAGAAAACCCACTTCCTCTTGCTTATGAAGATTCCTGGGCTGCTCTTCAATGGGTTGCTTCTCACTCAAACAACCAAGAATTAGATGGCAAAAAAGACCCATGGTTAGCCAAATTTGGAGATTTTGACAGATTGTACATTGGTGGTGATAGTGCCGGTGGCAATATTGCACATAATTTGGCTATGAAGGCAGGACTAGAGAGCTTGTGTGGTGGTGTGAAAGTTTTGGGTGCATTTCTGTCCCACCCTTATTTTTGGGGGTCCAAGCCAATTGGGTCAGAGCCTAAAGGAGAAGACTTTGAGAACACTCGGGAGTATAAAGCTTGGGACGTTGTTTATCCATCAGCTCCTGGAGGGATTGATAATCCAATGGTGAATCCAGCGGGTGAGGGTGCCCCAAGCCTGGCTGGACTCGGGTGCTCTAAGCTGCTTATGTGTGTTGCAAGCAAGGATCAGCTGAGGGATCGAGGAGTTTGGTATTGTGATTTGGTGAGGGAAAGTGGGTGGAAAGGAGAAGTGGAGCTGTTTGAAGTGGAAGGAGAGGACCATTGCTTTCATATCTTCAGTGACACTGAGACGGAGAATGTTAAGAAAATGCTCAAACGCTTGGGTTCTTTTCTTGTCTAGTATTATCATGCTGGTTTGCTCATGTGTTTAACTGTTGAGCTCTGCTTTGATCTGTGTCTTTGGTGTTTAAAATAAAATAAATAACTTGTTTTGCTATGTGTTTAATCCGATGAAGACCTATTTACAGAAGATTGAATACATAAAACTAAATATGATATGCAGGCAAGAGGAAAAAAAGAGAGGAGATTTGGTGATCTGTGCTCTCCCAAAGCGCTGAGATGTATATAACATGAATGAAGTGAATGATTACTTAATGAGGGGCCATGGTTTCACTCTGCCTTGATCAGCATTTCCATTATTTGAGCTGTGTCAAGTGATATCATAGCGAGTTTTGAATTGTTATATTCTAAAGATACTGTTTTTCATTCAAAGTGAATCTGTCACCGTTAGTTTTGCCTAACAAGCCACTGGAAAGGATTTTCGGCCTACTTTCCGATGCAAAAGGCGGTGCCTGAATCAGATATTTCTTTAAGTGGTTAGCACAAGCATTTCACTTTGCTGCTTGTTGCTGGAGTATCACACATCAATTCACTCAGTTGTTTTCTAATGTTCATTTGCTTTAGTTTACAAGTGGGCTTACACCCACTCTCACCATTTTTTTACAATCTTCATCTGCAGGAACTATGTCTACGCAATGTTGTATAGACAACAATCACACTGTCTGATATGTTTCTTCTCTAATCAAGTCTAATGGCTCCCACTTCCACTTCCACTTCCACTTCCACCACCAAAGAAATAGCCTTCGAGCTCCTTCTTAGAGCACTTACAGCGGTGCGCCAGGGGGGGCCCAAGAAGAAAAGGAGGTTCCAGGGCCTTTTTTGCCCGGGCTGGGTGTGGGCTCCACAAGCCTGTGCTAGCCCTCAGGCAAAACCAACCCTTGCAATAGCCTGGGTTTGCTGACGTCAGAAACAAAAAAATAATTATAAAAAATTTAAAAAATTCAGATTTAAAAAAAAATAAATACATAGTCATAGTTTTCACTTCCCACACCAAAAATCTATACAAATTTCTCTCTTCATATCTCATGTGAATAGTTGTTGCCATGGCAATTGGTGGAAACACCACAACCTTTGGCAATGGCAGCCATTATTCACGTGAATAATAGCTGCCCTAGCTCCCCCTGTTGCGTCGATTCAACTGCATCAAAATGGATTCAGCTACATCCTCAACTTGTGATACTCGCAAGGGCACGAGCCGTTCGGTAGTATAGCATATGTAAGTGCGAGGTCGATTCCACAGGGATTGGTGATTGAATAATCCAATTCAGT